AGTGGTAAATTGCCAGGAACATGAAGAGGACACTATTTTAAAGCTAATCATCTAATTAACTTATCAACGATTCTTGTGATTATGTTAGTCATCATTGCCGCCATCATGTCTGTTGCTCTTGTTGCTACGTTTGCGTTGCTACTCGTTTGTAAGCTATCATCTACGTGGAGATTTCCGAAGGCTAAGGGTCCTTTTGGGGGTGCCTGAATAAGGATAGGAATATTCGGGGGAACTGCAAACATGTCGTATATAATCTCCAACGGGAAGCTCCATAAACCCCTTGCACTTCCCATATATGCCAAGGCTCCTTGAGGGCCTTCTGTTTTGAGAACCCTCAAAACATCCCTACAACCTTCTTAAAGGGACCTGAGGTTCCTCCTTTAAGCATGCGCCAGGCAAGAGGTCCTTGATAGGTTCGGGACGGTCTTTGATGCAACCGCCACCCTACTTGGGGTCAGGCCCTCGATGTGAAGTGAAAGTTTCTCAACAGAGTTCCCATAGAGTCCTTACAGGGGACTCATGCATCTCCGTATAGTCTCCATGTATCCCATGGCACCCTTACTTAGAGAGACCCCCAAGAGCTCGCGGATGTAAAGGGCGATGTTAGGATCATCTGGGGCCCATGATGCCCATTTGTGGGGGTGGTTTAGGGGATATAGGGATAATGGTAAAGAAAATGGAAACTATTACATGATACTAGGGTATATATAGGGGTAACAGCGCGTGAACTCTGAGGAAGAGCCAAGGTTGCAAAAGCTGTCCCGATATATCAACACAGTCACACGTATTCACACATCTGACTCGATGCCGCCACTGTCACCACCAGGTAGTATGCAAGAAGTAGGGGACCACAATAGACCCCAAAATACGATAATCCTGATTATAGGGACTCCAGAAAAGATACCCCTAATCTGTGTGAAGCTCGGAACTGTGCTAAGGCTGTGGCTGGATCCAATGACGTTGGCATCCTCTGCATGAGAATCTTTGCGGAATCTGGACATGGCACGTGGACCGGCTGTGTTAGACGTGACTTACTGGCGGTAAGTAGGGAATGATGGGATGTAACCCCTATAAGGCCAATATGATACAGCAAGTTGATGGATGCGCTCAAAGGAGAGCCAGCTTGGAACCTCAAGTCCTTTCCTGGATAACACGAGTTTTTCCGTACATCTACTGTATACGGATCTTATAGGGATAATGGAAAAGAACATGGAATCGACTATAATGGGTTATATAGGGGTTACATAGGGCAAATATGACGACTGGTACCACAAGTGGCAGATGTTGCACTCTGAAGGCACTTGCGAATTGTTTCAGGGCGCACGTCTAGAGAAGAGCTTTCGACTGCAATGCCTATGTAGTCCACTGTAATCATCGAGCTTGTTCCCGCAGTCATGGTTATACAGAGAGAGAAGATGCAAGCAAATGGCTAGGTAAGGCTGTTGTTGTCCTTCTCTAGTCTGTATCTGCGATGCAGCCCTCCCCCCCAGGCTCTTCCCCTCAACCCACGGATCCCAAGATCTGATGTAGAAGGTTGCCAAAATGATGCTCCTCTTGTGGCAGCCGTTTTAAGATGCAGAAAGCGATTCCTTAACACCGCACCCTAATCCCCATCTGCCGCCAGGCTACAAATTGCCCTTTTCCTGGGTACGGTTTGGGGCTTAGATTTGCTGCCCTGTAGAGCCCAGTACCCCAGAGCGAAGGCATATAGCCTCATTGCTACTGGGTTCCATTATATGATTTGGGGTATTTCCTTTGAATCACAAGGTTTGTGCTCCCTGGGTTGCCACATTGGTATCGTCACGTTCTTCGTTACTGTCATAGTGCAATTCATGTCGTTTGTCATGGGTCTCAGCATTATCATTAGGTTGGCCCCGCACCCAGTCATAGTGACCCAGGGATAATTCTATGTACCCATACTTTTGGGGGGAGCTAAGGAGCTAGGGATAATCTATATCAATATAATAAGGGGAGCTAAAGAGCCCAGGAATCCCCAAAACCATAGGGGAGTATTATGTACTACCATTAACCCAGGGTCTGACCCGATCTTTGCATTTTGTGACCTGAGATCCTGGCCTTCATCCTCCTCATGGGCCTATGCCTCGCACCCAGCAATGGTTTCTCCAATATATCCCCTTTATGAACCCACAGAATTCCTCTGCGAAACCCTACGCCCTAAGCCCCTAAACCCTAAGCTCTCATATGAACCCATAGCCTTCTCTACAATTCCTTAGCAGGATCCTGCGCCTCAGGGTTACGAACTTGGAGCTTCAATCCTTGGGCCCTTGGTATTCTGGGGGTTCCCAAAATTGGGGGTACGTTTTGGGGGTCGTTATAATAAGGATTACAGTATTTGGGAGTCTATATTGGAGTCCCTTATTTGGGGACATTGCCATTTTGGGGGGTTCTCAAGAACGAGGCCCCTTTGTCGGGGTGTTTACAACGTGGATAACCATTTTAGAGACTGAAACCGCAGCCAGGTTCAGGTGCAAAGGCATGTTTATCTGAGGGGATCCGAGATGGAGCAAGATCATGTTTCTGCAGGATCGCTGTATGGAACCTGCTAGAAGTAACCAAATCTTTCTGGAACCCGCCCAGACTCTACACATGCCGTACGTCCTAAGCCCCAAGCTGTACGCACCAGTATCCCAATATTACCCCAACATACTATAGTAGTTTCCAGCTTATTTTCCATTATCCCAATACAACCCCAATGCAGCCCCCCCCCTATAATCCCTATATAGTCATCCTAAACGTGTTTCTGGGAAGCTGAAAGGCCTGGGCGGCGTCATCTGCGGAGTTCTGATCTCTCAGCTCATCATACTCAAAGGCTGGGGCTGGCCAACTTGCTGCTAAAAATTGGGATAGTGTAGGGCTTATATAGGGATAATGGAAAACAAAAAAGGAAACTCTATTTAGGTTTAGGGATGGGGAGTAAATCCCCCGAATGAGCCCTGTACAGTCTCTTAACATACCCCTATCATGGCACTTGTATTCAGCGCTCAGAGAGAATCTAGGAGTGTTTGAAGAATGGGTCTCTGCAAAAAGGGGCTTCAGCGTCTCACCTTAAACCCCAAACCCTAAACCCTAGGGTCTCTGCAAAAAGGGGCTTCAGTGTCTCGGATATCTCGATGTGCCTGGCATATCTCCTGGAGTCCTATAGATGCCCTCTAGCTAGCCCTATATGAGCCATAGTCTAAGCTCCTTAAAGGTGGTTATATAGGGGATTATATATGGGACTACTATAGGGCTTATGAAGGGAGATACTAGGAGTTTAGACAATGGCTCATATGAAACTTTCTAGCCCACATATTCTCCCCATAATAATTCCTGCATGATCCCAATAAAACCTCTGCAGAAATCTTTCTAAGCTCTTTAAAGGTTCTCCATATCTTAGGGGGACTAGGAAGCATTTAAACCCAGGCATTGAAATATTCAGGTAGGGGTTCTTATTGTAAAGAAGTTAAATGCCTATAGTTGAATGCTTCCTAGGGTTCCTAAATGTGGTAGTTTCCCAAAATAAGGGGACCCCAATATAGACCCCAAAATATTTTAGTCCTCATTATTGGGACCCCTAAAGTGGCACCCCTATTTTTGGGAAAGCCCCAGCTTCCATTTCATTTTNNNTAATTTTGGGAAACCCCCCAAACCCTAAACCCTAAACCCGTGCTGTAATGGCATCCTAAGGACAGCAGCTCTTGGAGAAAAGGTCCCATAAAAAAAACCCTTAACCCAAATCCCTAAACCCTAAACCCAAATCCCTAAACCCTAAACCCTAAACCCATCATGTTGGGGCGGAGCACTTCCCAGGCGATGTGGAGCTTGATGGCGGCAACGTGAACTTTAGAAAGAACCAGTTGATTGTGCCTGCCTTGGACTGTACTTGCAACCAGGACCTTCTTCGTACCCTTAAATAAGGGTATAGGGTCCTTGATGGTGGGTAAATAATATAGAGGGTATATGGAAGGTCTAGGTACATACAATGCACCCTGATAATGGGAAAACATGGGCAAGCAAATGGAACACGAAATGGAAACTGGGATTTTGGTAGGGGTTATACACGGATTTATAGTAGTTATGTAATTAAGATTTACCTCCCCGCAACCCTGCCCCCCCCCCAATTCATCTTGCCCTAAGAACCCAGAATAAGTAATGGCACAAAGCCAGAAAGGTTGATGTAGAGGCTGGCTGTGGATTTCCAGGTCAAGGTTTCCGCTTGCTGAAGAACAGCCAGCGCAGCCTGAACTGGTAAGGCACCCTAACCATGCGGAAGACGAATCTGCTTGCAGAATGTTCTTGAATCAGCTTACCCTGAACGCTGAACCGGGGCAATCTGCTTTGACGGTGAGGTCGGAAATTTGGACAAGGCCAGTTGGCTGACCCGCTGCAGCGCCAGATTGTTGCAACTGAAATGGCAGGAAGTAGCAAGAATGATGGCGGCCACAGAGATTATGCTCATGATTCTGTTGCTAGTTGCGGTAGCACGACGAGGGACAGGAGAAGGAGGATTAGGAGGAGGACGAGTGCTAGTCCTCATGATGGCTACCACGCAGGCTTTCCGATCTGCTGGCCTTCGGCTCAGACTGTGTTCTTGAGACTGGGGGCATGACATGACGGCTGAACTGTTGTGGGAAGTTGCGGCCCCGAAGCAAACTGCTTCTAGAACCTGACCTAGGGTTGTCCGAAGTGCTCAGTGGAGTGTAGGCTAGGACCAGATCCCCCTCTACCAATTCCTGATGCCCGGAATTTGGTGTTGCCGGTGTAAATGAAGGATAACCAGTCAAGTTGTTAGCGCTTTTGATTTCCGCTCGTCTGCTATCCAACCAGAGTCTGGGGCATGGATTGATTCGGCGCATGGAATCGAATCCTTTGGAAAATGTCAGGTCCTTTTCCCAAGTCCATGTCACAACGGCCCTAACTAGCATTTGCGACATGTACGCGGATTTCAACTGTGAGACATTTGGCCCCCGGTGCTTGGCCCCCGGTGCCGCACGCACAAGGCCACGAATCAGCAGACAACATCGACTGGAATGACATTCTCAAAGCAGTTGCAGTTCCACTGGACAAGGTGCTGGTTGTGTGGGTTCTTGATGTTGTATTCCATCCACGTTTTCAAGTAACCCTGTGTTGATCAAGGCGGCTCTCTCCGCCGCTGAAGGTGAGAGAGTCGAGAAAGAGCTAGAAGGGCTGCTGGTGTCGCGGCCTGAAGAGGGCGAACCCTCAGTCACCAGCGATGATGCCGGCAAGGTGGGCTGAGTAGATTGTTTGCACTCGTATCATTGCCATGCGGCTGCGACCGCCAGCAGGTGTTATGCCTGCTATGTCAATGTACAATCCTTTCTACGCTCACTTATGTTACATGCTCATCAAGACGATGAATGAAGCTGCGTGGGGAGGGGCAGGCCTGTAGTAACTAAGATAGTAATAGTAGCAACAGGAGTAATAGTGGTAAACGTAGTAATAGTAATAATGGTAATAGAATCTGTGTTGCGTGCCAGGAAATGAGCCTGGAATCCTGGCAGTCCCGCATGGAGGACACCACTGACGAGGCATGCCATGCATGGTTCTACCAGGGTCAGTTTGACTGCAAATGTTTGAGTTTCTACTTCGAGATTTCGGCGCGCGGTCATGTAGCACTGCTTGCCCAAGGCTGCCTTAGACGAGACAGAGATGGAGGAGCTCTTGAGGTATGAGTGCATCCTCTCTGCGCAGGCCAATGCACCTCTGTGCTTTGCCAAAGCATACTATAGAAAATGCTTTGCGGCGCTGAGGGAGTCACCATGGAGGCTTCAGCCTCAGCTTTCGGCTCTGATTGAACAGAACCCGTTTCTCCAGCAGGGTCAAGCTTTGGGGATTGACACTTGTGAGGATCTAAAAGCAGCTTACAATGAGATGGCGCTTTTCGGTCCCGTCTGCAGCGTGCTCAGAGTGTTCCACGCTTGCAAACTTGAGCCGGTTAGAGGCTTTGAAAGGCTAAAAGGTTTCTCTGCAAACCTTAGATAGCGCAATTTGGTGCAGAACCACTTGGAATCAGTAAGTTTCAGCCGATGGTTGAGATTCTTGATGTCATTGCGCAGCTGTTTCCACCAAGCCCACTTGCCCTTAACTGCAAAACTCCATCCTTGTCCGCGTCAAGCCACACGTAGGCCCACCCCCGAGACACTCAGATTTCTAGGTCTGGCAACCGGCTGTTAGATGCAGAGCTTTCACAGGTGAAGCGGTACTAAGAATATAACCCTAATATAACCCCAATATACTAAAGTAGTTTCCATTTTCTTTTCCATTATCCCTATATAACCCCTATGTAACCCTATTGGGGCTACCAAGCCGCTGAAGCGTTTGATCAGTAGCCCCCCCTTGCACGGCAGTGGCGCAACATCTTTCAGACATGGCGAAAGACTCGCAAGTGCTCTGCGAAGACAACGATGACACTCTCTAGATCATGCTTCACTTCAGTAGCAATTGTCGTTGAAGGTAGGATCCCAAGCAATGCTGCCAGTGGCATGGTAATTCCTGGAAGCTTGTGATGCCCAATAGCGTACATGAAATCAAGCAAATGAAAGCACAACTTAGAGATACTGACAGCGGCAATGATCACGGCAGTGTCATCAAGGTGTGGAAGACTTCATCCTTTGCGTCTTCAAGCACGCCTCGAATGTCAAGACGCTGCCCGTCCTCTCCTTCAACCATCAGCAGAACAAGGCCAGCAAGTAGTAGTGTTCGTAGCGGTAGCAGCATGCTGCAGCATGCTGCAGCATGCTGCAGCAGCAGCAGCAGCAGCAGCAGCAGCAGCCCGAGCAACAGCAGCGGCAGGGAAACAAAACATACAAGACCACCACCACCGCCGCCGCCGCCGCCAGCACCAGCAGCAGTTCAAGCGGTCATAGTTATAGCCTATAACTTATAGGCTATAGGCGCAGTAGTCGCCGCCCTCTTCGCGGCCGTGGCTGCGGTTGCGGCGGTGGCTTTGGGGCCAGCAGCGGCGGCCTGGGGTAATATTAGGGTAACCCCAAGTATATTGGTGTTAGATTGGGCACAAAAAATTCCTTGTAGCTCAGAATGCGTGCTTCCATTTGCCACACCTGACATGTAAAGCCTGCAAAAATTGATGGAGGTGTATTCTCGCATACTCCTGCAAGGGCCTGCGCCCTAGCAATTTCACCGCTATACCATTAGGCATGCTAGTGAAGCTGAGGCTTCTGGTTGACAATGGCCTGCGAGAGATGCAGTTTGACTCCCAGATGGTGCTGCAAGCCTTTCATGCGAACACGTCTGGCTGCTGAGAATGCATGTCACAGATCACATCAAGAATTATTCGCCCAGGAGTCGTGTGGGTGAACTTCAGACGCTGTTGACGCCAATGATAACTGAGGCAGAGGCCAGAAGCTTGGGATGTGGTGCAGGGAGCTAGTTCGGGGCCACTAGACCGTAATGACCTTCGTTTGCATCGAAGAAATGCTTTTGGTGTTCAACCGCAGCATGATGGTTGCTTCTGGCAAGCCTTCTGCAGCACCTGAGCAACAAGCACACGGTGCTGTTGGTGTGCTTGGAGCCATTAATGATCCGCTCCCTGTCATGAGGTCTTGCATGAGGAGGACCAAACCGTTGTTGGGTGTCCCACAGAATTTGCTTATAGTTTCCAGCTGCCGCTCATGCCGAAGGTTTTCAGGAGGACAAATGAGCGTTGGTGTCGAAACACAAGGACACAGCAGCAATCTGAAAGAGTGATGGTGGTGGTGGTCGTGTGGGGATACTGGTGGTGGTGGCATTTGCCTGCGGCTTGGCGGTGCTGTAGTCGTGGTTGTGGCGGTGCTACTAGTGCTGCTAGTAGTGGCTGCTCTGGTGCTGGCAGTGGTGTTAAGCCCTTTTGTGAAGGCTGCGGCTGAAGACCTCGCCGAGCTGGAAGCACTGGAGGCCATATTTTCATGCAGCTTCAACTTCATCCTACCGCAAGTACGTCATTATTGTTTTGTCATTCTACTTACTTGCCTTTGCCATCTCCTGCAGCTTTAGGTGTCGTGCCTCTTGCTCCTCGCTGCTTGCTTGTGACACTGCCAGGCACGTCTGGAGCAGAAAAAGAAGGCCTTGTGGTCTGCAGCGCGATCCGTCAGGATATGTGGACTTCCTAACTGCTCCCTTGAAAGCCCCTGTATTAAAAAGGGCATTACTCAGTCGGTATTTGGAGGCCCTGATTGTGGACATGCCTTTGAAAAAACATGGCAGGCACTGCGGGCCTTGATCTCTGAGAAGGAGAAGGCTGGTTGTATCTTTCGCTTGTGGCTGCTTTGGAGGCTTCTTCGTTGACATGAGCTACGGACTAAAGTTAGGGTTGGGGGGGACCTATCGGGAAATCTATAGGGAGGGGGAACCTATGAAGGAACATACCAGAACTTTAGTCCAGGGCTCGCATAGCCCCACCTGGGATCTGTAACCCAACAACTACAGGACCAGGGCTCTATGCAGATTCCGAAGGAAGAGATGATGCAGGCAAGTCCCGGCTACAGAAATCTTCCCGTCAGTTCAACTTTAAGACTTTGTTGTCAGGCTCAGAAGGATGGAGCAGCACTGCATGTGATGCTGGAGGCCTGCAGTAACGTTTGGGTTTCCTTGAAATTGTGGTCGTCCTGCTTTGGTCCGGACTGGCATCAGGTTGCCAAACTGAATGAATTACCCCTATATAGCCCACATATATCCCCATGTAAGACAGTAGTTTCCATTTTCTTTTCCATTATTCCTATGTAACCCCAATATAACCCCAATATATAGCTTATAATCCCCTATATAATCCATTGTAGTAGTTTCCATTTTCTTTTCCATTATTCCCTATGTAACCCCAATATAACCCCAATATATAACTTATAATCCCCTATATAACCCATTGTAGTGGTTTCCATTTTCTTTTCCATTATTCCCTATGTAACCCCAAAATACTATAGTAGTTTCCATTTTCTTTTCCATTATTCCCTATGTAACCCAATTATGCTACAGTAGTTTCCATTTTCTTTTCCATTATTCCCTATGTAACCCAATTATACTACAGTAGTTTCCATTTTCTTTGCCATTATTCCCTATGTAACCCTAAACCCTAAACCCTTAACCCCAAGATAATTCAGGACTTGGAGAAGCAGGTGACAGAGCTGGAAGGCCAGGTCTTTGGGATTCGGACGGCTTTGTGCTGGCTTTATCTGTGTTGCTGTTAAGGAACTTAGGATATGGGGTTTAGGGTTTAGGGTTAATGGAATATCCCTCTATAATGGAGAATCAAATGGAAAAGAAAATGGAAAATGAAATGGAAACTGGGGAAATATGGAGGATTAAGGAACTTAAATTAAGTTACTATATTGGGGAAACCCTATTATTTACTATACATACCCATTATGGTAACTTAATTTAAGTTCCTTAACAGCAACCCAGTTATTCCCAGCGTTTAGGCTATCAAGCGAGTCTACCAACACCTGTTTTCCGGTTTGGTAAGGGATGTCCGCCGGAACTTCTGGAGGCATCCTGGGTTCGAACAGACCAGCGCTTGCGGTAGGATGGTTTACATAGGGAATAATGGAAAAGAAAATGGAAACTACCGTAGCATAATTGGGTTACATAGGGAATAATGGAAAAGAAAATGGAAACTACTGTAGCATAATTGGGTTACATAGGGAATAATGGAAAAGACAATGGAAGCTACTATAGTATTTTGGGGTTACATAGGAATAATGGAAAAGACAATGGAAGCTACTATAGTATTTTGGGGTTACATAGGAATAATGGAAAAGAAAATGGAAACTACTATAGTATATTGGGGTTACATATGTCCTCCTGGCCCCTTGGCTAAGCGCGCTGTCGAGGATTCAACATATTGTTTCGCTGACCTTGGTGAAGGTACCCGGATGAAGAGTCGCTTCTGTCATACTGCTGATAGCGAATGAAGCTCTACCCTGTGAATTTCTCCAAATATTCCCTTACACGACATAAGGACTACGTGTCCAGCCCCCCCAAAAGGTATCCCCCTTTCAAGAAGCCCTGCGAGAGGTCTGAAAACGAGGTACAATCCCCAATGGGGGCTTCGATGATTCTCGCATAGTTTCTTACACCATTCCTATTTATCTTTTGGGTCCTTAGGGTATCTCAAGGGTATCCTGAAAGTACTCCTAATTTTGGGAAACCCTGGACCCTAAACCCTATGCAAACCTATATGAACCCTCTACCCCTCCCCCTATTTTGCCTGCGTCGCCTTTACAGGGTACCCCTAG